GTGCGTGCTCTGTCTTCTCGACATTGAGTAGTGGCAGATGGCTGCCCACACTGAGCCAGCCAAATAAGAAAATGAATGGCACCATCTTTCGTTCCATGTGGGTTAGGGTTTGGGCAGCTGAAAACATAAATGTTTGTGGTGCGCACTTCAGACCAGAGGAACACAATCCCAGTGATGCAGAGTTTCGAAAAATACTCACCAGCTTCTAAAGCCCAGATCAGCATCAGAACCAGGAAAGGGGGGTCCACGCTGGGCTCCAGAAGCAGATGGGGAGCTTGTAAAAATTCCTAGCGTGCCGAGGATGCTGGTTTCTGGGTCCGAACCGGCGCGCCCGACCTCCAGAAAAGGATGCAGAGCTTTAAAAAATTCCTAGCGGGCCAGGGCAGGTGATTTCTGGGTACAGCTGCCTGCCCAGGTGATGACAGGTGTCTCTTCCTCTCTCTAAAGCACAAAGCTACATTACGTGAATGGATATTAACGAGTGTGAAACAGCTGACAAACACTCATTATAGTTTATTATTGTCAAGAATCAATATTATATTAAATGACTAATGATATGTTAATTGTCTGGTACATGACAGTAATATGTTAAAGATTGTGATGTTAGCACACAGGTTTAAGATAGCTAGCATCGTTCACTCACCGAGACACCTGCTCGCTCCACATAACCTCCTACACAACAGCTAAATCTCTCTTTTATCCATTGTTTCTCCCTCTGGCTTGTCTCTGCTCTCTGGGGTGTACAGCAGGTTCATAACTTTATCCACCATAAGTATAATTATAAACATTAAATGTATCCTCTGTCACAGTTGTTATTAAAATCCATATTTTTATCCGAATGAAGTGAACAGGACTCCCTCTGTTTGCGTCACATTTGGTTTGGCAGAAAAAATACATCCTTTCTCACAAAAATGACTCCCAAAGCTTAAATAGTTTATTTATGTGTTCATTTTTATTTAGAACTAGATCCTGTAACATTTCTCTAAATATTTGTTAAAAGGAGGCTCTAACCTGCAATGTGCTCTTCAATGATATACATAAAATTTTACTGATCATAGTTTAACTATGGATATATTTAGGTAATAGCATGCTGTTTTGCACACTACTGAACTTCTAATTGTGTTTTGTTGTTAAATAAAGTCAAGGAAGGAGAGAAAAAAATTTCCTAGCAGTTTTGAAATTTTCATGTTTAAGCCGATTAATCGAGTCGAAACCACATCTGATTAATCCCTGATCCAAATAATTGTTTGTTGTAGCCCTAGCCACCTCTTGTCACGGTGTAGGAGGTGGAGATGATGGACCATGTGTGGTTGAGCTGAGCAGGAGGTAAAAATGCAGGCTTCAGTAAAAGTAAAAATGGTTTAATGGCAGGATGGGATGAACAGAAACACCAGCAGACAACAACAACGAACTGACAAAGGACAGGGGCAAAACAGGTGGTTTAAATACAGAGGGCTAATTAGGGAGACATGGGCAGGTAAACGAGGGACAGGTGAGAACAATAAGGGCAATCACGGCAGGAGAGGAACACAGTCAGGTTGGGCAGGGGCAGATCGTGACAGTACCCCCCCCCCCCTTAAGGGCAGATACCAGACGCCCACAAGGCTATACAACAGAAGACGGGGACTTGAAGACTGGACATGACAGGAACGTGACTGGAACAGGGACTTGACGGGACCCGAACGGAACTGGAACATGACTTGGACTGGAACATGACTTGACTTGAGCAGGCGTGGGACCCAGGCAGAGAACTGCAGGAGCAGGCGTGGGACCCAGGCAGAGAACTGCAGGAGCAGGCGTGGGAACCAGGCAGAGAACTGCAGGAGCAGGCGTGGGAACCAGGCAGAGAACTGCAGGAGCAGGCGTGGGACCCAGGCAGAGAACTGCAGGAGCAGGCGTGGGACCCAGGCAGAGAACTGCAGGAGCAGGCGTGGGACCCAGGCAGAGAACTGCAGGAGCAGGCGTGGGACCCAGGCAGAGAACTGCAGGAGCAGGCGTGGGACCCAGGCAGAGAACTGCAGGAGCAGGCGTGGGACCCAGGCAGAGAACTGCAGGAGCAGGCGTTGGACCCGGCAGAGGCTGCAGCAGCACGAGACCTGCAGGCATAAGCCCCACAGCGTGGACCAGGAAGTGGACGAATGGCAGGAGCGATGCGAGGGAACCCAGCTCGGCGGCAGGTGCTCGACAACTGGTCAGAGCAGGTACACGGCATGATTAGCTGGGTCTCAGGCAGAGGCTTGGGTGCAGGGAAGCAGGAGAAGAGCGGGGAGACCAGCCCTACCACCCCAGAGAACGATGGCGTGCGTAGGGGGTGTAACTCCCTTTTAGCTCCAGGATCCGCGGCTTCCATGTGACACAAACGGGGCGGGGGCAGAAAGCAGGAGAGGAGAAGGAATTCGACCACCCCGGGATCGAGTAGGATGCGCCGAACCCCCTCAATGGTTCGACCACCCCGGAGAACAGGTAGGATGCGCCAAACACACTTGAGTCCAGAATCTCCCTCCGCTAAAGGAGAAAAAGTAAAAAAAATTAATCCTCCAGGGAGATGCAAAAAACTCACCACAGGTCTAGGTTGTGGTCAGTTCATTCTGTCACGATGTAGGAGGTGGACATGATGGACCATGTGTGGTTGAGCTGAGCAGGAGGTAAAAATGCAGGCTTCAGTAAAAGTAAAAATGGTTTAATGGCAGGATGGGATGAACAGGAACACCAACAAACAACAACAATGAACTGACAAAGGACAGGGGCAAAACAGGTGGTTTAAATACAGAGGGCTAATTAGGGAAACATGGGCAGGTAAACGAGGGACAGGTGAGAACAATAAGGGCAATCACGGCAGGAGAGGAACACAGTCAGGTTGGACAGGGTCAGATCGTGACACCTCTGCTGTCCTCTTAATGTCATTGGTCTCTGAACTGGCCCAGGATCACCTTGGGGTCCTTCTGGAGGAGCTGGTGGAGGTGGGTTAGGGTTAGGGTTGGGATGCTGCCCGCATGACCCGGACCCCGATAGGCAGAAGACAAGACGAGACAAGATGAATTTAGAATGGCAAAAAAAAAAAAAAAAAAAAAACCTTTAGGACTGAACTTTCTAATAACCATCCAGGAAGTAGTGGCCTGTGAGCCAAATAGACTGAAATCATTAAGTGAAAGCATTCTTCACATTTCAGAGTGGCCCAGCCAAACTGTAAATAAGAATATACCAAAGAAAAAACAGCAAAGAGCTTAAAATAAACTCATCACAGAGGAGGAGTTACTGTAAATTCAGAGACAACAAGTCAGTGACCTGATGCAGTCCGCTGTGGGATGAATTCTCATGAGAAAACTCTGGAGAATGTGTAGACTCAACACGGGGTGGGGCTACACCTATAGATCTGGCTGCTGCCAAGTCAGCAGTCTGCTGAGGTATGAAACTTAAATAATTAGTGTAATAAGCTGAACTCAAAACACTGATAAGTAGATTTAACTGGAATGTTTACTTTGTCAAGTGCCATGAGATGACTCATGTTGTCACTTGAACTGAAAAGAAGAAGAATGAGACAGAATCTCAGGAGAAATACAAACAGGTTGTTATTGATTAGATGTGGTTAAGAGCTCTATTAGCAAAAAAAAAAAAGGCTAATCATACACCCTGAACTCATAATCAGTAGGTCTAGTCAACATTGGTTTTCATTTTCCACATCCATATTGAAAAAAGCTCATCATCATCATCATCATCATCATCATCATCATCAAACTTTATTCCAGACACAATACAGTCCATAGTATAAATTGTAAAATAGTCAACAGGTAATAATTCTTCATATGTGTGAAAAAAATAACTGTTGTCACGACAAACAATTGGAAGACACTGAACCAAACTTTTATTCAGAGCAGTTGTTTTCAGTGACAGCTGGTGATTTTTTTGTATTTTTGGAATGAGGCGCAATTTAACAAGTGTTGTGCCGAACAGAGCATGCCAGTCGAGAGTGGCATGACCTGTTATGGGAAGATGCATACGAATAACGAGTTTTTAAAAATATATTTGTACTATTAACATGTTTTTTATCCATTTGCTTCCGTACAAAATGATGGTTATGGGCAGACGATTGTTTGCTTGAGAAATATAATAATAAATCTTTAAAATTTTTGTAATTTTGGGTTAGGTTTTTTAAACAGCAAAATTCAAGCAGGGAGAAAAATGATATAAAAATACTCACTAAACATTAGTCTCTAACATGTTTAAATAAATTCAGTCAAAGGTTTTCCTGTGGCTTTTCTGTAGCTTTTTAAAAATGGCAACAGATGACGGCTGCCTAAGGGGGATAGGCAACAAACAGGCAAACATGTAGGCAAAGCAGCTTGTTTCAGGACGATTAGTTGATGCTATGAATGTTTTAGACAATTTAGCTTTGATCTCAAATAGCTACTTGGTTGTTTGTTTGAAAGTTATTAATAAAGGTTTTTGAAAACAGTCTCACGTCGACCTGCATCCTGGCATGCGTTGCGATCGATGAAGCAATGCTTCCTGTCTCAATTCGGCAATTATTTGCACACTTGTGTACTACGAAGCCTTACTGTGCACCTGCTCCAAGTGCACTTGGCTGATGGCTGCAGGGCGCAGTCCGAGTGTTGGGACTGGGCCTGTGGTAGAGATTGCTGCACCTTAAAATACCACGAAATACATCACAAGACGACTTGGTAGTAATAAAAGTGTAATTTAAAATTTTAAACTATCCTTAAATGCAGATTATACACAGCACTTACAGTCTGTATGATTTATAGATCAATTAGTTGAATTTTTATGTATTTTTAAAATATATTTTGTGTTCTTCTTCTACTGGTGGGGTGGCGCCATAGCACCCCCTGTGGACAAACCGTCACTGGTTGCTTTATTGCCTTTTTTATTGTTCTAAATAACAGAATAATGACGAGATGGACTCAGGTTAAATATAAAGTGTCTGAAATCCTAAACTTCAGCATTTCTTCAAACTAAGAGAAGAACAAACAGCTTCGACTCACAGTTGGTGGAAACGCGACAGAAGTCCTCCTGCAGCTTTGCCTCATGAAAATGTGAATCCAGGGATTCAAGGTCAGGCTTTCCATTTCCAAGTGCTGCTGTGGAGAGATTGGGATTGGAGGCATGAAGGCGGATAAATCCAGAGGAGATGCAGCTGGGTACCTGTGGTGAGACCAACCATATTTAAAAAGAGTCACTCAACATCATCACACCATATTAACATGCTGTTTACCTGCAAAGTTGTTTTGACATCTTTATTGTAGTTTTTATGACACCATTTTCTCTGAAGTCTCTTTTCTTTTTTGGTGCTGTCAAATGAAGTTGTCTAAAGAAACATGTGATCATCAGATTAACAAGGGATTTAACTGACTTTTCAACAACTGCAGCACGTCGTAAAATAAAGCAAGTTTTTCATTTAGAAGCATATCACTTGAAGAAGTCTTCTGAGCCATATGATGTTTTGAATGTGATTTACAGTAAGTAAGTATTCTTGGACCGCAATTATTGCAATCAAATGCATTTTGCATGATATTGTTGATAGCTGCAGGAATCAGACTCAGACCTGCAGTGCTTGGATAGATGGAGCAGAGTAGGTGCGGTGAAGGACCTCCATGCTCTGTATTAGGTGATTAAGCTCCCGCAGGTAGGCCTCGCACTCTGACAAATCTGTAGAAGAGAAGAAAAACTTTTATAACTATGAATTTAAGAAGATATCTTCAAAACGATCAATGGCCCGTATTTATGGCACTTTCTAAGTCTACAACGCCCTAAGGTGCTTTACAGCTAAACAGTCTTTGACCCATTCACACACTGGAGGTCATTTGCTACAATAGCCAGAGCTGCCATGGGGCATACAGACAGAAGCAAGGTTGCTGAGCACAGGTGTGTCTGGTCCCGACCACCACCAGCAGGTGAAGTGTCTGGCCAAAGGACACAACGGCTCTGATAGATGGGAGACAAACCTGCAACTCTCCAGTTGCAGGTCGGGCCCTTAACTCCTCTGTCACTGTCTCCCCACAAAAGGTACAAAATCATCTGCTACTTCTGTTTTCAAGGTAAACAACTTATCTTATATAAAGTCAAATTATAGTATAAAGGATACAAGAAGTGTAAAGTGAGTAAAGATTAAGAGAAATGTTAAAGCTGCTCCCACTGGCTAATGATTAACCACACCTGCTTCTCTCTATATGACTGCAGCCTTATTCAGACAGAAAAAAAACAGCTGGAAATGAAGTCTCTGTAGTTTAAATTTTGGGGCAGCAGTAGCTCAACAGGTTGAGCGGGTTGTCCGGTAATCGGAAGGTTGCAGGTTCAATCCCGGCTCCGGACAGAGAATTCTGCTGTTGTGTCCTTGGGCAAGACACTTAACCCACCTTGCCTGCTGGTGGTGGTCAGAGGGACCTGTGCCTGTGCCTGTGCTCAGCGGCCTCGCCTCTGTCAGTGCACCCCAGGGCAGCTGTAGCTACATCGTAGCTCATCACCATCAGTGTGTGAATGTGTGTGAATGGATGAATGATACACTGTAGTGTAAAGAGCTTTGGAGTCCTTGCTCTGAGAGGCGCTATACAAGTGCGGGTCATTTATCATTTAAATCATAAGTGGATTTCAACTGCAAGAAACAGAAGGATTTTAAAGGAGTTTATTTATATAATGGGGCAGAAAAGAAGTATTTAGGCAAAAGTTCACTTCAGTACTACCTTGGCTGGTAATGACAGAGGTCAAACATTTCTTGTAGGTCTTCACCAGGTGTGCACACACTTGCCTGTATTTTGGCCCATATATCCATGCAGCTCTTCTCCTGAGCTGTGACGTTTTGGGGCCGTCGCTAAGCAACGCAGACTTTCAACTCCCTCCACAGATTCTCTATTGGATTCAGGTCTGGACAGTGGTTAGGCCACTTCAGAACCTTGAAATGCTTTTTATGTCACCCCACCTTTGTTACCCCGGGGGTGTCTTTAGGATCATTGTTATGCTGGAAGAGGCAGCCACATTTCATCTTCAGTTCGATCACTGATGGAAGGAGGTTTTTGTCCAAAATTTCACAATACACGGCCTTGTTTATTCTTTCCTTAAAAGCAGTGCTTAATTGGAGTCAGATCTTGGTGGAACAAGATTCGGGAACTATCTTACTTTGAAAGAACTTGTTCCGGTAACTGTTTGTTAGGACTTGTGTTAAACTTGTGTTTAACATAGAATCAATGTTAGAAGAAGAAGAAACAATCATTTATATAGCATCTCTCAAGATAAAAATCATGAAGAGCTTCACAAGAACAAAAAAATACATTAATTAAAAAAAATTCTAAATATAAAACTAGAAAAATAAAAAATTGTGATTTAAGGAAATATAAGTAAACGGAAAGAGAAAATGAACAAGAAAGAGGTGGATCCTGGAAAAGGCAGAATTGGTAGACAGAGCACAATAAAGAGACAGTGGAGAAGAAGGTCACACCAAAGCCAGAACAGGTGAGTTTCAGCTGCTTTTTAAAGGAGACCACTGAGTCCACTGATCTCAGGCTCAGGGGGAGAGAGGTCCAGAGTCTGGGGGCCACAGCAGCAGATGATCTGTCACCTTTGGTCTTTAGCCTGGTGCTGCACAACCAGTAGGCTTTGGTCACTGGACCTGAGGGTCCTGCTGGGAATTTACTGAGAAGATCACCAATGTAGGATGGTGTTTGTCCATCAAAACCAGGATTATGGCAAGATGGCGGCATGGATGCAGCGGCTCACAGCTTTTTGCCAGTGTTTGTTGTTTTTGCACTTATTTCTTTTTATCTGTGCAACATCAGTTCTATGAACACTCGCTACATTTGCCAGAACCTTGTAGACGTTAGTGTACAGTACCAAACATCTGTTAGAAGTGTGTTTCTTCGCATACAACATCCCAGACAGCGTAACAAGACCATCTGGCTTTCTGTGGATTGTTGTTGAGTCTCTGAACACTGAGCACCAGCTCCCCACCAGGCTGTGTGCTGAGCCCCCTCCTGTACTGTCGCTACACCCACAACGGCAGTCCAGCCCATAACAGAAACCTTGTTTAAGTTTGATGATTTCACCACAGGTTGGACTCATCTCACATGGCAGATTACAGAGAGGAGGTCCTGAAGTTGTCAGCCTGGTTCTCACAAAACACCCTGGCTTTGAACATCAACAAAACTAAAGAGATCATTGTGGACCTCAGGAGGCACAACCTGGACTCCAACCTGCTACTGACCTTCTACCACTCATCCATCCAGAGCCTGCTGAACTGCTGCATCACAGTAAAGTATGGCAGATGCACCACAGCAGGCAGGGACAGGCTTCTGATGGTTGTGAAGGCAGTACAGAGGTTGGCTGCCCCCACCTTTGCTGATGGATATTAACACCCCCCGCTCTTTCAGCAAAGCAAAAAACATCAAGGAGAACTCCCACCCTGGCTGTGGCCTGTTGCCCTCCAGGAGGTGCTACAGCCACATCACAACCAGGCTTAAGAACTGCTTTTTTTCCAAAAGCCATAACCACCTTAAACGGATACATGCACTGACACGACCCGACCTCAGGCCTCCCTTCTGCTCTTCAATCTGTGCAATATCCATCATGTATATAGTGCAGCTTTGCACCATTTGCCATGTACCACAACGTCTGACCAAGATGAAAATGGGTAAGGAGTAGAGCTGAAAGTTAATAGTTGTGGTGCAGCAGGATTTGAAGTCTTAGAGCATGAGTTTTGCATGGATGTTTCTTTTTCAAACTGACCCAGTGGTCTCAGTCAGTGAAGGGAGATGAGTTCTGAAACTATCCAGCAGCATTTCTTTCTTTTGCAGTTCAGCAGAGACGTTGTGTATCCTCTTGAAAGGTTCTCAATCCTTTTATTGCTTTAGAAAGCATAAAACCGTCATTGTGGAGCAGAAGGAGAGGGAGGACAGACGTTCAAAATAGCTTCAAGGTTGCAGAAAGCTTACACTTTAGCTGAGCTGCTTCTGTTGGATCCGAAAGATTTGTGGTCTAAATAAAGGTCCCAGAAGTTAAAGAATCCGAAAAAAATCATAGGAAACAAAGGTCCAACAAACTCCATAGAATTCAAAATCGATGAAAGGGGGAAAATAATGATTTTAGGAGGAATTAGAGCATGTATGAAGCTAAACACAGTTGCAGGATTCTTATCTTTTTCAAAGCAATACTATGCAAATTTCCCATATTAAAAAAATTTTATTGGGCCAGTAAGTGTTAAAATTACCCTTTGAAGGTTTTTTTTTTTTACCATGTCCTGTCTGGCTGTGAAGCAAACAGAAATGATGTCTGAATGCTGGTAACAAGCCTTACAGATTTACTCTCAGGTAGAGCATCAAAGCGTTTGCTTTTAATGTCACGCCTGATACTTAAAACTTTATTGTTATTGTTGTTGAATGCTTGGTAATTCCGACCAGACACGGAGACAGAGGTGAAAGAGAAAGGAAAAGAAAAGGTGGGGAGGGGGGGGGGGGGGGTTTCCACAAAAATAAACAATGAACAAGAGTCTGCTTCTAGACCTGCAGAAAAAGACAAGAAAAAAAGCAAAAGGACAAAAAAAAGGGACACAACAACAATACAACAAGATCTAGCTATCACTGCGTCAACTTGATGAAAAAATATATAATCAACATTGCTTAACTGAAGAATCACGATAATAAATCACAGTGCATTAAGTGCCCACCATAGTCTTAAGACCTGTGTTTAACGTGCCCAAGCCCATACTTTTGAGATCACCATGTGAGCACCTGTGTGTGTACACGCGCTTGTTTATTTAAGGTTTCTCTATAGGAGCGTCCAACAGAGAGTGTGAGGGACCACAGATCCGCCCCCCAAAGATGCGCAGGAGACGGGGGGAGCTCCAAGTCCCAGAGATCCAGGCGCTGCCCCAGAACGCAGGAACCCCAAGGAGACTGCAACCAGAAAGGCCTCCGCCCCCCTCGAGAGGCACAGAGGATCGCCCCGGGGGGCCACAACCAGCAGCCGGCAGAGTCCCGGGAGATATCAGCGGCAAGCCCACAGGCCCGCCCGCAGCCTCCCACCCCCTAGCCAGCCGAGCCCGGGACCCAGCGACCCGGGACCCAGGGGTGACCACCTCCGCCGGGGACCCAGCAGAGCCCAGGGACCCAGACCCCACCAGGCAGCCACCGGGATCTATCAGGCAGATGCCAAAATCTTAAACCCCCAGACCCGGTTGCCACGAACACTCAGGCAGACCATGGCACAACCCCTCACACCAGGTGTGGCAGGGGGAGGGCTATCATCAAGAGAAGTTCCAGGAGAGGGGAGGAGTTAAAGGCCCGACCTGACATATACAGTCATACACAAACACAGTCACACACTCCCTCCCTCATGCTCACACATGCACATACAACCCAAGACTTACAAAAATGCACGCCGGACACCCACTCATGCTCCCCATACACACCCTATTCACTCTGGTCCCGGTACTGCTGCACATTGGGTACAACCATCACCGGTAACCAGAGTTTGACCCTTTCTGCTGGGGTGCTGATGAGCAGGCTCCCCCACCCAACGCTAAGCACAGCAACCTACCACCCCAGACCCCAACCAGACGGCCAGATCTCCCTCCTAGCCTCCAGCCCCAGGAAGCCTAGCAACAACAGAGGTGGCAAAGACCCCTAGTCTCCCTCCGCCTGCTCCAATATAGTGTTGTGTGATCATGAGGTGTATTCCATGGCTGTGGTGAGTGGGCAGTGCGGGCATCATCCGGCCTATGCCAGCTGATGCCACCACACCACCCCACTCACACCTTCAGCCATCAGTGTCTAAGTGCGGTTTAAAATTGGAAGTGGGCACCGGCACCCGGGAGGAGGCTGAAATATCCCCCTGCCAAATGCCGTTTAATGTGCTCACTCCCAAGGCCCTAAGTGTGTGTTTGTGTGGAATGTCATCAGTGGAAGCGTATAAGGTGCAAATAAAATTGGGGGGCAGGTTGCCACAGGAATGCGGAAATGGGGTCCATACCCGCACTCCATGACTTGCCCACCCACCAAGGTCCTATGTGTATGTTTGTGTGATGATGTGAGGGAGCAGGAGGAGAGAAATATGCGGGGATGGGGAGGAATGGCTGGTTGGGCTTAGCCCTCCAGGGAGCCAGCTCCCCTACTGGCCCCAATAGACACCTCTGTTGTCAAACTGCCACCCAGGGCATGGAGACCCCAGCCCATCCTGCCAGGGCCCAAAGCAGCTGCATTACAGAGCCTCACGGAGTCCGAGGGCACCAACCCAGCCCCACCCCAGCAGAATATCTATGCCCATCCCTGCATTTGCACAACTTCCAGAATATATGAGACATGAGACATCCAGGTAAGGTTGGGTCCTCCCCCTCCTGGACCTCCCCCTCCCCTGTGATGGAACGGCAGAGGAGCCAAGGTCTACCTGAGGCCCCTGAACCCTGGCCAGGCACTGCTGCGAGTTCCTGCCTTCTTCCCGGCAGCATACATGTCAGGACCCGACCCCCAAGGCCCCGCCCAGATCCCCACACGGGGCCGGCCACCCCCAAACCCCGAGCCCCCAGGCCCCCACCCAGACCCGCCCAGGGGCAATGCAGCTGCCAGGCAGTGACCCATGGCCGCCGCCAAGATCCCCAAGGGGCCCCACTCACAACCGCCAGTAGTCCACCCCCCGAGGAAACCCAAGCACCTCCAGAGGGGGGCAACGCCCCCCCAGTCCCAGACACCCCCAGTGAACCCACCCCCAGGGAACATCCGGATACTCCAAACTCAGACTCCACACACCCCCACCCACACCATCCCGCAGGACAACATCAACGGCCCCCCACCCTCGCTATGTGATGGAACCGATCAAAGGAGCCCAGAGAGATTCATCTGAAGTGGAAGCAGAGGCTATATCAGAGAGGATTATAAGACACCTTTCGTCAAACATTTTGACAGGTCTATTGTTCTTTGACCTTTCATTCCTATTGTTCATTTGACCCTTGACCTTGCCCCCCCTCCTATCATTAATCAAATGGACAGGTGTATTGTTCAATCTTTGCCCCCCCTTCCGTATCATTAATCAAATGGACATGTGTATTGTTAATTGTCCAGATGGGCTAGACCCCCCACGCCGCATCATCAATGGCGTATTGTTGAGCGTCCATGATCCCCCACGTCATAGGCTAATGTGTGTAATGGTGTGTGGTTTCTTTTTTGTGATAGCCCATCGGTTCCCACAGCCCCCCTCCCTTCTGAGTGTAATTCTATTGTGTATAACTCTTTAAAAGCTCAGATCTGTCCGAATGGTGAAAAGCCGAGCTCTAAGAAAAAATGATGAACCACGAGGAGCTGAATGAAGCACCAAGCCACCTCTCAGATATGTTCCTCACCTAAATATGGTATGGTCTGCTAGCTCTTGAGTGAGTGACAGAAGCTGAAGTCAATGCATGAACTTTTGCAGCCTTTTGCTGAACACACACAAACTCTTCAGAGTGACACATTGTCTATGTCATTAATACTCTCTTTGAGATGTTCACGTTGGATTTCGTATGTTCAGTCTTAAACTTTGTGTTTAAATGTGTTATTTACATGCAGCTCTCAGACACTTTTTGACCAGAACTAAAACTATTGTGTAAAACTCTCTGTCCAGCAGCACATCAAATTAATGGCTGTAAGCACACACACACACACACACACACACACACACACACACACACACACACACACACACACACACACACACACACACACACACACACACACACACACACACACTTCTCTAAGAAGTAAAAGGATTACATTCAAACATTTCTATCACTTCACAAAAGCAATGGTTTACCATCCTAAACCATTTATGGTCCTGTTGTAAACCACCATGCATTCTCAAGCCTATAAGAACAAAAGTTGATCCTTACCTCAGCGTGAATGAAATGGTTGTACGTTTCCTCAAAGTTAAAGAATCTGTTTTTGTAGTAGCAGACAAGATGGTATGGTCTGCTAGCTCTCGAGTGAGTGACAGAAGCTGAAGTCAATGCATGAACTTTTGCAGCCTTTTGCTGAACACACACAAACTCTTCAGAGTGACACATTGTCTATGTCATTAATACTCTCTTTGAGATGTTCACGTTGGATTTCGTATGTTCAGTCTTAAACTTTGTGTTTAAATGTGTAAATATTTACATGCAGCTCACTGACACTTTTTGACCAGAACTAAAACTATTGTGTAAAACTCTCTGTCCAGCAGCACATCAAATTAATGGTTGTAAACACACACACACACACACACACACACACACACACACACACACACACACACACACACACACACACACACACGCACACACACACACACTTCTCTAAGAAGTAAAGGGATTACATTCAAACATTTGTCTTTGACTAAACCATTCAAACATTTCTATCACTTCACAAAAGCAATGGTTTACCATCCTAAACCATTTATGGTCCTGTTGTAAACCACCATGCATTCTCAAGCCTATAAGAACAAAAGTTGATCCTTACCTCAGCGTGATGCTTTTAAGATCTGTTGAGCTTTTTTAAAGTTCATTCTGAACAATTTTGCACGGCCAGCGACTTCTGACAAAGCAAATGACTTCTTTTTTTTTTTGCAGGTGGCGGGAAAGTTTTAAAAACAAAGAACTGGTTGAACCAAATCGTCACAGAAACAACACACAAAAAGCAAATTACTTACTTTTTTTGCAGGTGGGCTGTATTGAAAGAGTGGCGGGAAAGTTTTAAAAACAAAGTTCTGGTTCATTCTAACCAAGTCGGCATGGTAACAATTCACAAAAGCAAATGACTTGCTATTGTTTCAAAGAGCTATTTAGGTGAACAGCATCTTTGGTTCGTCATCATCATCAGTGAAAGCTTAACCATCGCCTCCTGCCTTTAGTGTCACATTTTGTTTTCACTGTCACACACACACACACACACACACACACACACACACACACACACACACACACACACACACACACACACACACACACACACACACACACACACACACACACACACACACATTGCTTCCTGCCTCAGAGAAAAGATTTGATCCATTTTGTAGGACCTATAACAGCTGAAATAAATAAAAAGCTGTTTATGAGGTTTGTTTTTTGGGAGGGGTGGATTAGTAAAGTCTCAGAGCAGACGTACCTCTGGTCAAACCTTTAATGTCATACCTCTCAGAATAGTTAAACTAAGGCACATGCATGTCGTAAACGGATTTACACACGAGTGAAAGAGCTGCTACATTTTAACCAAAACATGAGCGAAGAAGAAGAATAAGAAGAACCGATGGATACGTGTTTTGAATATAGCCTTCCTCTGCTAAAAACAACGTTCGAATTGAGACATGATGAGATTTCAGGAAGAAATGTCCGGTACAAAAACGGTACGGTATTATTTTTTGGATCGTAAAGGTTTTTTTATTTCTGCTCCGGGGAGTTTTGATGAAGCAATGGATACGAGCACACACACACACACACACACACACACACACACACACACACACACACACACACACACACACACACACACACACACACACACACACACACACACATTGCTTCCTGCCTCAGAGAAAAGATTTGATCCATTTTGTAGGACCTATAACAGCTGAAATAAATAAAAAGCTGTTTATGAGGTTTGTTTTTTGGGAGGGGTGGATTAGTAAAGTCTCAGAGCAGACGTACCTCTGGTCAAACCTTTAATGTCATACCTCTCAGAATAGTTAAACTAAGGCACATGCATGTCGTAAATGGATTTACACACGAGTGAAAGAGCTGCTACATTTTAACCAAAACATGAGCGAAGAAGAAGAATAAGAAGAACCGATGGATACGTGTTTTGAATATAGCCTTCCTCTGCTAAAAACAACGTTCGAATTGAGACATGATGAGATTTCAGGAAGAAATGTCCGGTACAAAAACGGTACGGTATTATTTTTTGGATCGTAAAGGTTTTTTTATTTCTGCTCCGGGGAGTTTTGATGAAGCAATGGATACGAGCACACACACACACACACACACACACACACACACACACACACACACACACACACACACACACACACACAACTCTAAACAACCATTCATACATTTGTCTACCTATACAACAAAGCAAATGACTCTGTATTGTTTATAAACATTTTTTTTTCGACCAATCGCAACCGTTTTCTATTCAAGATTTTTTTAAACAGCTGTATAAAATGTAAAAGCGCATTTTCGGAGTCGTGATTTGAGGTGTAACAAGCTAAGATGACGGGTAAGTTTTTAACTCAAGACGCAAATCTTTTTTTTTCTCTTTCTGGTTTAACATCTTTATTTTCAGACGCTATTGTCATATCGGACGGCGAGTGGGAAGAAATTCCTATTGAGGAATTAACTTGTAAGACACCGATCCCTCTGGATGATTTGTCTAAAATTAATCGCGCGGTCGAGAATCTGAGTGAGTGGATTTTATAAATATATACGTAACGTTCTTTTCTTCAACTGAGAAATATCTCATTTTACAGAAAAGGAGGGGGTTCAACCTTACCCCGGAAGTGATAACTTTTACCCAACCACGCCTCCATCCACCAGCCGAACCGTCTTACATTCGTATCAGCCCAGCCATACCGTCAGATCACACGGGAATGCGAGCGTGAAAGCTGTTCGTTACAGGACCATCACGCCGCAGACGATCCTCGAAGCTGGTAAGTGATTACAAAATAGCGATTAATAAGTCAGAGATGTGTCGTTCATATTTATCGTTTTTATTCTTCAGAGCAACGTCCGACGGCCTACGCACCCCCAATATCTCAGCCCCCACCACCTCCAACCCCTTCTCATGCGCAGACGGATGGTAACGATAAAAAAACAACTGATTAATAAGTCAAAGATGACTCGTACACATTTACCGTTGTTTTTTTATCCTTTCAGAACAACATCAGACAGCCGCTTCAATATCTCCGCCCACACCTCCTCCACCTCCTCCTCCTCCTCCTCCCCCATCTCCTGCACAGGGTAAGAGATATATAAAAAGGTGGTTATTTACTTCAAAGATGATTCGTTCATATTTTTTCATTATTTTTATTCTTTCAGAACAATCCGACAGCGACTCTGAAACCGCTGAACGTGGTCCTGAGCAGCCAGCCGGTAAGCTGTTTCACAAAAAAGCTCCGCATAGTATATTAAATTTGAAGTAAAAAAGATGTTTTTTATCCTTTCAGATGAAGAGGAAGAGAACGCACCACCTCCTGCACCTGTACAGAGTAAGTTAAATTTATATATATATATAATTTATTAAAAGCTCGTTCATTTTATTTATTTTTATTTATTTTTTTCATCAGAAAAACGGCTGAAGAAAAAGAAGAAAAACATCCGTCTTTCACCGATTCAACGGCTAAACAGGATGAAAATGGCCTACTTGCTTCTGCAGGTCAATTCTGGCCTGGTCGAAGTGGTCCAACAAGTGCTGGCTCTGTAAGGAGGACGACGCAGAGTTTTTTTCTTCATTTTTAGTAGGTTATTAATGTCTTTGTATCATGAGTGAAAATTGGTTTGATAACCTTTCAGATTTGCTTGAAGTAGATGATGAATTAAATGTAGATTTGTTAGATAGAATTTTAGCCAGCCAAAATCCCTCAGTGGAGGAGGCCGATAATTTGGTGTTAAATGACTGGTTTGATTTAAGCGGACTGAGTGAAGTAGATGAATTAGCTTCAGATAGTGAGATCTTAGCATCCCAAGCCGTTTCAAACGAGGTCGATCAAATTCTAGCAAATTCAGATTCGCCTTCATCAGAAGCTGTAGATGAAATATTGAGACAATTAGAACACCAGCAGCACGTAAACGAGGTCGATCAAATTCTAGCAAATTCAGATTCGCCTTCATCAGAAGCAATAAACGAAATTTTGAGACAAATAGAACACCGGCAGATCGGAGGGAGCGTAAACGCAGCTTTTAACCAGCGTGAAATTAGAGAGAGAGTGTCTTTTCAAGCAATCAACGACCCAGCCGAGTTTTATATTAATCTGATGGAAATATTAAACAGGTTTGCTGAAAGAGGAAGCCAGATCGCGCGTCCCAACGATAGAGTCCAGTTTGAAATTAATACTTTACACACGACGCACCACGTTAATTTTAATTATGACGGATCAAATATGTTAAATCAGCTTCAGTATTTACTGGATCTGTTAGTCCAATCAAATGAAGCATTAGAGGCCGACAACGAATTTAATTTCAGACTGCAAGTGATAAATAACCCGTCCGGCGGCGGAAAACGAAAAATCGAAACCATTCTGGATCACGAATTAGTCAATAAAAAACGAAACCATCTCATTTGCCCTCCAGAGGCCAATCAGCCGTTGTGTTTTGCGCTAAGCATAGCCGGCCTGTTAAATCCCTCAGCGAGAGATACAGAATTATTGAATGTGGCTAAAAATATTCATCAACAGGCAGGGCTTCAGGAGCAATCAACCGTTTCATTTAGCGACGTGATTCAATTTGAAAATATTGTTCAAAGAAAAATAATCATTTTTTACAGATCCGACAGAATCATTTCTAAATTTGAAACAGATTTTAGCGATCGAACAAATCCGTTGTTCATTTTGCTACTCAATCAACATTATTACGGCATAAAAAATATTAAAGGTTTCTTAGGAGCCAAATATTTTTGTTCATGGTGCTTTTCCGCTTATAATAACATAAACGGACATCATTGTAAATGGTTCTGTCGCGTGTGTAATACCGATTTATGCAAACGGACAGAAACGTCTCTCATCACATGTTCTGATTGTAATCGAATATGCCAAAATGTAATATGTTTTCAAACTCACAAAACACCTGTTTTCAGGCCTCAAGCAAACAGGTTAGTTTCTCCTTGCGAAATGTTTAAAAAATGCACCATTTGTAAACAAACTTATTACATCGCCATGGGTGGAAATGGTTCACAGCACGTTTGCTCAGCGACCAAATGCATCGTTTGCAAACAGTCGGTGGTCACGGACGATCATCGCTGTTTTATTCAGCTTGAAAAAAAAGATGACGGTTTAACGGAAAAGGTTATTTATTACGACACTGAAACGTTTACGGATCAGAACGGTGTGCATACACCTTTTTTAATCTGTGCAAAATCCGATTCAGGCGACGTTTGGGAGAAATTTGGTTTAGATTGCATTAAAGATTTTATTATGCAGATGCGTCGTCCTAAATTCAGCAATTATACATTTGTTGCACACAATGCGCGTGGATTTGATGCTTATATAATTCTGAGCGCTATGTGTCAATTAAAAATTGTTCCCAAAAATATACTCATGCAAGGCTGTAAAATCCTGAGTTTTCACGATCCAGATTTCGGGTTGAGATTCATTGATTCCTTAAGTTTTCTCATGATGAAATTAGCCAACCTTCCAGCTGCTTTGGGCTTTACAGATAAAACTAAAGGTTATTTTCCTCACAGATTTTCATCGCTTGAACATCTGAATTATAAAGGACCTTACCCAGATGTCAGCCATTATGGGTTTGAACAAATGTCTCCGGAGCATAAAAAAATATTTTTAGAATGGTACACCGATGTGTCTAAACAGCAGCTGTTTGATTTCAGAAAGGAGGCCGTGTTTTATTGTAGAAACGATGTGGAAATTCTGCGTAAAGCATGCGGTATTTTCAGAGAGGAGTTTTTTAATGAAACAGGTATCGACCCGCTGAAATCTGTCACGATCGCTTCAGCTTGCATGCGCGTGTTTAGATCAAAATTCCTAAAACCAGACACATTGGCCATTCCTTGTCCGCTCGGTTATCGACCGCAACAAAAACCATTTTCAAGTTCAAGCATCGTGTGGTTGGAATGGGTTTCACACAGTCAAAATGTAGACATTCAACACGCTTTAACGCCTTTGGGGGAGTATAAAGTGGGAGATTTTTATCTCGACGGATATGCTGTGATTTCAGGCGTCGAACAAGGGTTTGAGTATATGGGTTGTTTTTTCCACGGCTGTCCAAAATGTTTCTTACAGTCATCCATATGTCCTCTGAGAAAAATCACTTTTGGTGAAATTTATGACAAAACCGTCGAAAAGCTTCAGTCGTTGGAAACTGTGCATCGATTAAAAATGAATGTCATTTGGGAACATGATTGGCAGGAGATGGTAAAAACTGATCCGGACGTGAAACAGTTTGTCTCAAGATTTGATCCACCGCCGGCTCCTCTTTTACCTCGTGAAGCCCTGTACGGAGGCAGAACTTGTCCGGTTCGGCTGAGGCATTCTGCTCAGAGCGGTGAAAAAATCCACTATGTGGATTTTACGAGTCTGTACCCTTATGTAAACGCCACACAGACTTACCCCATAGGCCATCCCAAAATTCATGTTAAAAATTTCAGAGATCCAAGTCACTATTTTGGCTTGATTAAAGCTGTCGTTTTGCCACCCAGAAAACTGTTTTTCCCTGTTCTGCCTTTTAAAACATCCAAAGGTAAACTCGTTTTTACACTGTGTCGCACATGCGCTGAAATGAATAATCAATCTGATTCTTGTTCACACAGCGCGTCTCAACGTGCTTTGACGGGCGTTTGGGTGAGTGTAGAGTTCAATTACGCTTTGGATTCAGGTTACAGTCTGTTGAAAATGATTGAAGTCTGGGATTTTGAGAAAAGCAGTAAAGATGTGTTCGCAGGTTACATTAACACGTTTTTGAAGCAGAAACAACAAGCGTCTGGTTTTCCTGAAGGATTGATTGACGATGACTCAAAAAGAAAATACATTCAGGACTACCAACTTCGTCAGGGAATACTATTAGATGTGTCTAAGATTCAGCACAATCCTGCTAAGCGTGCCATTTCAAAATTATGTCTCAATTCACTCTGGGGAAAGTTTGGTCAAAGAGATGATCTTGTACAAACCACATTTGTTCAAAAACCTGATGAATTTTTTGACATTCTGTTTTCAGGGAGATACAATGTTAAATTCTTCAGTTTTCTCACTTCAGGAGCCGTTCTGGTGCAACACAGTTTGGCAGAAAAATGCTTAACGACTCCTGGCAGAAGCAACAACATTTTTATCGCCGCTTTCACCACAACTTATGCCAGATTGAAATTATTAAATGCGTTGAACAAACTGGGAAATCGCGTCATTTATTACGATACAGATTCTATAATTTATTCTGTCAAAGAGAACGAGTGTGTTTTACCAACAGGACCGCTGCTGGGGGATTTAACCGATGAACTGCACGGCGATTCCATCACGGAATTTTCATCAGCCGGTCCAAAAACGTATGCTTACAAAACCCGGGACCGCCAGCAGGTGGTGATAAAGGCTAAGGGTATCACACAGTCATTCATTTCATCTGATCACATCAATTTTGACAGCTTAGCGCTGCTGGTGGAGGGGTATGTGGCTGGAGAAAGGGGAAGATTTTTGCAAACTCAACAGGATGTCATCAAGAGAGATAAAAAAGATCTCACTCTCGCGAATGTTTCATTTGTGAAAAGGTTTCGTGTGATTTTTGATAAAAGGAGGTTGTTTGCTGACGGCAGTACAGAACCATTCGGGTATTAAAAATGGAAACTGATTTTGACGCTAGACTAAAATTGCCATTCAGTGTACAAATTGCTGGTCCGTCAGGCTGTGGAAAAACCTTTTTTGTAAAAAGTATTTTGGAAAATTGTATGCAATGTTTAACTGAAATGCCTGAAAACATCGTGTGGTTTTTTACATCTTATCAACCTATGTATGATGATCTTTGTAATAAAAGTATTCGATTCATTCAAGGTCTCCCGCTTTCATTCGAGGATGATGATTTATTTCCATCGGGTCAAAACCACTTGGTGATCTTGGATGACATGATGTCTCAAACCTCCAGCCATCCTGGAGTGCTAAAATTATTTACGCAGCTGAGACATCACAGAAATATGAGCGTCATTTTAATCACTCAAAATGTTTTTCATCAAGGAAAACATAGTCGTTCCATCAGCTTAAACACCAATTATTTGATTTTGTTTAAAAACCCTCGA